CTTGAGTGGTATAATCCCCATTGGAGTATTGTCTCACTGGAACAGGATAAAACTCAGAAGCCAGGTTTATAGTGAGTCCTGTGAGAAACTGCATGAATGTAATAAATAAATATAATGTTCAGGTTTATAGTGAGTCCTGTCATAAACTCCATGAATTTAATAAATAAATATAGTATTAAGGTTTATAGTGAGTCCTGTGAGAAACTGCATGAATGTAATAAATAAATATAATGTTCAGTTTAATGGTGAGTCCTGTGAGAAACTGCCATAAATTTAAACCACATTTTAATTAATAAATATAGTGTTTACATATATAGTGTGTCCTGTGAGAAACTGACATGAATTTAAACTACATTTTAATTAAGTAATATGTAAAAACATTCTTCAATGGGCACAGAATGTCTTCTTTAACCCCTTAAGGGTCGAACTGTTTTTGCGATGTTGTACATTTGCGACCAGGCATATTTTTACACTTTTGTGGTGTTTGTGTTTAGCTGTAATTTTCCGCTCTCTCAATAACTGTTCCCATACAAATTATATATTGGGTTTTTTAGAACAAAAGGGGCTTTCTTTACATACCATTATTTATATAATCTTATGTAATTTAATTTAAAAAAATTAAAAAATGATGAAAAATTGAAAAAAATACGTTTTTTGACTTTTACTTGAAAAATCTTTTACTCATCTACAAAAGCAAATGAAAAAAAACTGCTAAATAGATTCAGAATTTTGTCCTGAGTTTAAAAATACCCAGTGTTTACGTGCTTTTTTTTTTTTTTGTAAGTTATGGGGCTATAGCTACAAGTAGGATATTGCGGTTTCAAAACATACATTTTTAAAATTTATCAATAGTGACATTGTAACACTGTTATTTGTCATAAATCTCTGAATAACACCCCACATGTACATATTTTTTTTTTAAAGTAGACAACCCAAGATATTCAATATGGGTATGTCCAGTCTTTATTAGTAACCACTTAGTCGAAAACACTGGCCAAAGTAAGCATTCATATTTGTTTGTGTGTGAAAAAAGTAAAAAAAACAAATTGAACGCCAGTGTTTGTGACTAAGTGGTTACTAAAAAAGACTGGACGTACCGCATTTGCAATACCTTGGGTTGTCTTCTTTTGCAAATGGTATGCCATCATGGGGGTAATTCTCATTCCTGGGCTACCATACGCTCTCAAAGGCAACGTAACCAACCTGGCCATTTTCAATGTAAAACTATTTGACCCATATATTTGACCATGTAACTTTCAAAAACGCTATTAAACCTGTACATGGGGGGTACTGTTATACTCAGGAGACTTTGGTGAACGCAAATATTAGTGTTTCAAAACTGGAAAACGTATCACAACAATTATATCATCAGTAAAAGTGCTGTGTGTGTGTGAAAAATGAAAAAAAAAGTCACTTTCACTGACAATATCATTGCTGTGATATGTTTTACTGTTTTGAATCACTTTTTTTTTTTCAACGAAGTCTTCCGAGTAAAACAGTACCCCCCATGTACAGGTTTTAGGGTGTCGTAGAATGTTACAGGGTAAAATACAGTGCTAGCAAATTAAATTCTCTAGACTTTCGGCCTGGGTTGGCAGGCAGGTCCCTCAAATTGCAATCAATAAAATTACTTAATTATGTAAAAATATTACATAAATACGCACGTAGAATTTAAATATATATGCATATTTATATATTTGAAGTTTACGTGTATATTTATATAATTATTTATGTAATTTTGTATATGGACATATGTATATTTTGTATTTTTATTGATATATACATATATATATATAATTTCATTCTAAGTGTATTTTGATATAAATATATACATATTAATATCAAAATACAGTTAGAATAAAATGTCAGATATATAATTTTTTACATTTTTTTTATTACTTTTACATTTTTAAATTTAATTTAAATTACTTATTATTTGTATTTTATAATAATATATGTATACAATATATATAGTTATTATATATTATATATATGCGTGTGTAATTTAATTATAAGTGTATTTTTATATTAACATAAGTACATATTAATATATAAAAATACACTTAGTATGACATTATATATATATCATATATAGACATATATTATATAGATATATGTCTATATAACATATATATAGTTATTTTTTTTTTTTTATTAACATTAACTTTATTTTTTTTAATGCTTTTACACTAGCAGGGAGACTGCCTGTCAGCACAGGCAGTCCTCCTGCAGGCAGACACATGGACACCTATTGTGACCATGTGACTGCTGTGTTGAGCGATCATATATATATTTATAAATAAAGCTGTGGCCTTTTTTATACCACATATACGTTTCCTAGTTTGATTGGGGGGAATTGAATGGATTTTGGGGATTGGTATGGTTCACAACACACGATAACCGCTACCTACACACATGTGACCGCTGTGTTGAGCGATCACATGGCCCCAGGGGTACTAATCCGTCACGGGGAGACTGCCTGGGCTGCAGGCAGTCTCCCCACACCGGGAGCACCGGTGATCGCCGCCGGGGGAACGACGGCGATCCAGTAAGTATCTAAGACCGTTAGGACGGTTCAGGACCGTCACCGGTCGGCAATGTAAAACTGCCAAGGACAGTCCTGAACCGTCCACGGTCCTTAAGGGGTTAAAAGTAATATGGTGGAAGCAGAAATCGTGTCAGGTGGCAGCCTGTTACTGAGGACTACAGGACACATAACACTATAATCACTGCAACGTGCTCCAGTAGTTATGGTGCTTGGGTGTTCCTTTAACCTCTTAAGGACACATGACATGTGTGACATGTCATGATTCCCTTTTATTCCAGAAGTTTGGTCCTTAAGGGGTTAAGAGCCTGTTTCCAACCTTCTTAAATAGCAGCTCTAATCTATCGTTCTCTATTAATAACAGAGAGCTAGTAACGGCTAATTACAGACATGTTTCCAAGCATGTCACATTTTATCAGCTGGACACAAATAACATTGGTCGAAAAGATTCTGACCCATCGCAGATATAAAAACAAAAAAATAAATACACTCGCACCATATAAACAATCCTCTCATACAATCAAACACATACTGACACAAATTTCTCATACACTCCTCATTCACATACACATGCTGACACAAATTTCTCATACACTCCTTATTCCCATTCTCTCAGACAAATTTCATATACGCTCATCTTTCACACGTTTAAACTCTACACAAATACAAACCTATTTCACACTCCTCACAATAGTCACACACACTATTCAGATGTACTGTTGTGTTCACTCACAGACACTCCATATAACTCTATCCCCAAATTCATACACAGACACTTCATTCAACTCTATCCCTGAATTCATACACAGGCTCTCCATATAACTCTATCCATGAATTCACACACAGACACTCCATATAACTCTATCCATGAATTCACACACAGACACTCCATATAACGCTATCCCTGAATTCATACACAGACACTCCATATAACTCTATCCCTGAATTCATACACAGACACTCCATATAACTCTATCCATGAATTCACACACAGACACTCCATATAACGCTATCCCTGAATTCATACACAGACACTCCATATAACTCTATCCATGAATTCATACACAGACTCTCCATATAACTCTATCCCTGAATTCATACACAGACACTCCATATAACTCTATCCCTGAATTCATACACAGACTCTCCATATAACTCTATCCCTGAATTCACACACAGACTCTCCATATAACTCTTTCCCTGAATTCACACAGACACTCCATATAACTCTATCCCTGAATTCATACACAGACACTCCATATAACTCTATCCCTGAATTTATACACAGACACTTCATTCAACACTCTCCATATAACTCTATCCCCGAATTCATACACAGACTCTCCCTATAACTCTATCCCTGAATTCACACACAGACACTCCATATAACTCTATCCCTGAATTCATGCACAGACTCTCCCTATAACTCTATCCCTGAATTCATACACAGACACTCCATATAACTCTATCCCTGAATTCATGCACAGACTCTCCCTATAACTCTATCCCTGAATTCATGCACAGACTCTCCCTATAACTCTATCCCTGAATTCATGTGAAGACTCTCCCTATAACTCTATCCCCGAATTTATGCACAGACTCTCCCTATAACTCTATCCCTGAATTCATGCGAAGACTCTCCCTATAACTCTATCCCTGAATTCATACACAGACACTCCATATAACTCTATCCCTGAATTCATGCACAGACTCTCCCTATAACTCTATCCCCGAATTCATACACAGACTCTCCATATAACTCTATCCTGAATTCATACACAGACACTCCCTATAACTCTATTCATGAATTCATACACAGACACTCCATATAACTCTATCCCTGAATTCATACACAGACTCTCCATATAACTCTATCCCTGAATTCATACACAGACACTCCCTATAACTCTATCCATGAATTCATACACAGACACTCCATATAACGCTATCCCTGAATTCATACACAGACACTCCATATAACGCTATCCCTGAATTCATACACAGACACTCCATATAACGCTATCCCTGAATTCATACACAGACCCTCCATATAATTCTATCCCTGAATTCATACACAGACACTCCATATAACTCTATCCCTGAATTCACACACAGACTCGCCATATAACTCTATCCCTGAATTCATACACAGACACTCCATTCAACACTATCCTGAATTCATACACAGACTCTCCCTATAACTCTATCCCTGAATTCACACACAGACACTCCATATAACTCTATCCCTGAATTCATGCACAGACTCTCCCTATAACTCTATCCCTGAATTCATGCACAGACTCTCCCTATAACTCTATCCCTGAATTCACACACAGACACTCCATATAACTCTATCCCTGAATTCACACACAGACTCTCCATATAACTCTATCCCTGAATTCATACACAGACACTCCATATAACTCTATCCCTGAATTCACACACAGACACTCCATATAACTCTATCCCTGAATTCATGCACAGACTCTCCCTATAACTCTATCCCTGAATTCATGCACAGACTCTCCCTATAACTCTATCCCTGAATTCATGCACAGACTCTCCCTATAACTCTATCCCTGAATTCATACACAGACACTCCATATAACTCTATCCCTGAATTCATGCACAGACTCTCCCTATAACTCTATCCCTGAATTCATGCACAGACACTCCACACTAATGCACTTTGGCATTGATACACCAACATTTGCCTTTATTCACACATAGGCCCTCAACAAAATTACACCCCAGAATTCACAGCTACTCTGCATAAACACACCCTTATATTCACCTGTCTACATTCCATACAGCTACAATTTACACATAACTGTTATACTCACTGATAGAACATTGTATTCACAATCTTACATTACACACAAATAAACCTCTGCCACATATTAAACTATAAGATTGATGCACATCAACATCACACACACACACACACACACACACACACACACACACACTATTCCCTGCTTTAAAACCAAATATGATACTATTAAGTCACATACAAATACATCATTGCTTTTACATATTTTCAACAAACAAAAATACATTCCTCCATGACATATATTGACTACACTCAAATACATACATGCAGTCACACACTACTGATCAATATATACATGCAATGACACACTACTGATCAATACATACATGCAGTCACACACTACTGATCAATATATACATGCAATGACACACTACTGATCAATACATACATGCAGTCACACACTAACACTTAATACATACATGCAGTCACACACTACTGATCAATATATACATGCAATGACACACTAACACTCAATGCATACATGCAGTCACACACTAACACTCAACACATATATGCAGTCACACACTAACACTTAATACATACATGCAGTCAAACACTAACGATCAATACATACATGCAATGACACACTAACACTCAATACATATATGCAGGCACACATTAACACGCAATACATACATGCAGTCACACACTAACACTCAATACATACATGCAATGACACACTAACACTCAATACTCAATGCAGTCACACACTAACATCAATACATGCATACATGCAGTCACACACTACTGATCAATATATACATGCAATGACACACTAACACTCAACGCATACATGCAGTCACACACTAACACTCAACACATATATGCAGTCACACACTAACACTTAATACATACATGCAGTCAAACACTAACACTCAAACCATACATACAATGACATACTAACACTTAATACATACATGCAGTCAAACACTAACACTCAAACCATACATACAATGACATACTAACACTTAATACATACATGCAGTCACACACTAACACGCAATACATACATGCAGTCACACACTAACACACAATACATACATGCAGTCACACACTAACACTCAATAAATACATGCTTTCATACTGACACAATATACAAAACGCACATGTATCCATCCAGATACACAAGTGCATTCACGTAGGGTTTACACACTCAATTACAAACATGCATTTATACTCAGGTCTTCACACTGTGCACATCCAAAGGAATACAGTATTACATGAGAGTTATAATTACATTTAATGAATTCACATTTTATTTGGCCTTCTAAGAGATTGGGATCTAATTTTGCCTGTGAAACCTAAGTCTCTCAGTCCGTCTGGGTACAGGATATTGTTATTTTACAAAGCGAGAGAACATGGTAACCAACAATGGAAAAGTACTTTGCATGTTATGTGTTTGTATGTTTTATCATAGGTGGATAAAAAGATGAAACCTATACTTAAAGCAACACTATAGTCACCAGAACAACTACAGCTTGTGGCGGTCTGCCAGAGTATCTCCGCCACAGATGGCCTTTTCCCAATACGCAACATGGGTAAATCCAAAGGCACAAATATCACAGCTGTTCCATAATCCCCCATACATGAGCCAAGGCTTAATGCTGGGAGAAGACTCGTTTATTGGGAGCCACAGACGGCTTTATGCATAAGCCCCAACACGGGGTTTCCCACATAGAAAATGCAAGGAAATCCCTCCCATGATCCTCTGTGCCTGAGAGATAATTATTGGAATACATATTGCTGATTATCTCTCAGGACAGAAACATCTAACATTTATTAACCACCCCAAAAATACCCCCAAAATATATGGAAAGTCACATCCCCGGATAGCCTGGATCTGGGCGAACAATATATCCAAATCACCCAGATCTGTTCGGTAGTTTTAGATAGCCATCGCGGGGGCGATCTGACTGGTCTGCCACGAGGTTGAAGCCCAAATAGTTCCAGGGAAATTGTGCCTGGCTGATATGAGTTCCAGGCATTAGATGACCACGCCCCGCTGCCATTGTTTGGGAGACAAGATGGCCGCCATCAAGTGTCCCAGCCATGCTATTGATAATTTCCTTTGTGGCTTTCATACAAGATACATAATTTTCCAAATTCTAATGGGTCTCTCGGGTGGTCTCGGTTGGGAACCCGAACAAATTAGATGAAATAAACAAAAGCAAGAATCCAAACAGCCAAAGTGTTGGGGTATTCCTTCACACAGCTTATTGTATATTATATAGCTTTCTGTACTTGTTCTGGTGTCTATGCAGCAGGCATTTTAATGTAAACACTGCTGTTTCAGAGACAAAAACAGAGGGACACCTGCAGTGGCAGTCACTCAGACGGCAACTAGAGGTGCTCAATGTGCAGCACTGATGTTCTGCATGGAGACGCTGAAGCTCCTCATAGAGATAGACTGATTGGCGCAGTGCCGTGTTTTGACGTGCATGCACAATCCCCTCCCAATGCTTTCCTGTGGGAAAGCATTGGATTGCCTAAGATCATGAAATATGATGATCTCAGCTATGAGTAAATCACCTTTTTAACAGGTGGGGCTATTTTAAACGTATAGTGTCAGGAATACACATTCGTATTCCTGACACTATAGGGTTCCTTTAATGATCATTGTATCTGCTGGTTATTTACTAAGCTAGGAATTGTTAAACTTGACAGGGTAGTTAGGCCCTAAATGTTGCATTATTACAAGATTCCCCCCACCCCCAGTTATAACTTTTGTTGTATTAAAGGCACACTGTAACCATATCATCTCATTGAAGTGGTTATAATGTTAAACTATTTTCTAGCCGTTCAATACAAAAAAGGGGCCCAGGACCCCGACACCCTAGACCCCACTGGGAGTGTGGCAAAGACAGAGACTAAACACTTCCTTCTATCCATACCGATTCATACCAGCAATGGGCACTGTAATAGGCTGAAACCGGTCATCTGACACTCTCAGCCAATCATAGCTGTCCATTGCACAGATAGAATGGAGGGATGATGAATTTAGTTTAGCATTAAAACATTAAAAACACTGAATGGAAGCGTCGGGGGTCTCCAGACACTGTAATAATTTTAACGAGATTAAGTAATTACAGTGTCCCTCTAACAACCCTAATTAAGTTCACTAGCTGCAGTGAATGCTTTCTTGCACTCATTTTATGAAATATGCTGCTAAATATGTTTTTGAATTGTTCCTTAATGCCAGGAGAAGGAGGGAGAATTTGAACGCAAGTATGTGTGGTGGGGATTGTCTTTGGCAGAAAGTGACCGTAAAGCTTTGGAGAGATCCTTTCACCTTTGACACGTTTTCAGTTTTATAAATGATACGCCTTCAAAACCTTGCGTTCAATGCAAATCCAAATAAAATAAAGTAAGGTTTTTAGAGTAATGCGTATAAACACTGTAGTGGATGGAATGTGACTGTCCGCCAGAATTATATTTTAAAGACTGTTTGCATGTTTAAACTGCTTGTACATTGAAAATTGCATATACATTCGTATGTTAGTTAGGTAGTTTCCTTCATCGTTTATACGAATGGAAACTACCGAATGCATAGACCACCTTAGAGAAGAAGTGTGTCCCTAGTTAAACCCTTATTCCCTCTCTAACCGCAGTTAATTGATGTTGTATTGCTGTATCTGGGTGGCCGCCATTCGGTAGGCGAACACCGCTCAGACCTCCAGAGCTCCAGAACTCACGAACGGAGGGGCTATTCGACTCCTCGTTCGGTGAGTTCAATATACCAAACAAGGGAGTTCGTGCAAACCCGGTATTATCTATGGATGGCAAGGATTTCTACCTGTTTTACCTCCCGAACGCAGACCGACCGCAGGGCCAAAATACATGGAACTCCTTTCGGCTACATAGTCGTGTGCGGTCGGTCAAATCGTTTATTCCCTAAAACTCCCGAACGCCTGGTCTGATCTGGGTGAATTTTGAGTATGTTGGTCACCCAGACCAGGGCTACCAGGGGATGCCACTTAAGTCCTGGTACCCCACGGTTTTGGGGTACATCCAAGAAACAGGGGAAAAAGTACCAGGATTAAGTGGATTAAGTGTCACACTGAGGGGAGGGAAAGTAGGGGAGGGAACCTCTGTATTATTAAGTGTTCTTGCATAGCAAGACCACTTATTGTTATCTCACATATATATTATTCTTATTATAGCCAAATTTGCCACCCTAACTCCTCCCACAGTTTTTACACTACATAGACAAAATTTACCAAAACGTGCAGATTGTTCCCGATCGGATTGCTATTACTTTGTGGAACATTTCGCCGAATGGTTCACGGAATATCGTCGTTCTTGTGGCGAAATTTGTCCCATAGGAATGAATGGCAAAGCTAGAGTGGGAGCTGGCAAAAGCTGAAAAATCAGGACATGATTTCTAAACTGCCACCACTCCCTTATTTTCAGGCCCACCTACACAAATCTTATATCAAAGCGTTCAGCTATCCCTGCTGCCACTAAACATGTCAACGGCTAAGCCATATTCCTGATAGTTTTCACAATATAATCATTTGTTTGCAACTAACGTCGTCCATTGACTTTCATTGAAACTTCACTCTGCAAAGCTCAAATTTGAAGTGCAATTTCTAAACTGCGACTGTGCCTTCAATGTTAATACTTCAGAGACATACTATGCATCAAAATGTAGGTCTGGGTCTTGTGATTCTCACAATATAAAGCTCTTCGCTGTAGGATTTATAGTTTTTAAAATATGACCATTTGAAGATGGCAACCGCCAAAATACTCTGACCTGTGCCAGGCTGCAGCAGCAAGTGATGTCATAGACAGGGCCTTTTGAACACCTGCTAATGTTTTTATAA